GTCTTAAAAGAAAATTAAGAAAACAATTCCATTTACGATAGAATCAAAAAGAATGAAATGCTTATGATTTTACCAAGGAAGTGAAAGGCTTCTACAATGAATGCTAAAAAACACCGGTGAAAGAAATGAAAGAAGACATAAAAATAATAAATAGAAGCACATTCCATGTTCATGGATTAGAAGACTTAATATTCCTAAGATGTCAATACTAGCCAAGGCGATCTATAGATACAAATCAATCTCTGTTAAAATACCAAGGACATTTTCCACAAAAATAGAAAAACCCATCCTAAAATTCACATGGAATCACAAAGGACCCTTAATAGCCAAAACAATCTTGAAAAAGAACAAAGCTGGAAGACACACACTTCCTGACTTCAAATCTTATTATATAAGCTACAGTAACCAAAACAGTGTGGTGCTGGCATAAAGAAAGATATAGAGAACAATGGACTGAAATAGAGAACCCAAAAATAAACCCTCACATAATATGGTCAAAAGATTTTTCACAAGGATATCAAGACCATTTAATGGAGGAAAGAACAGTCTTTTCAACAAATGGTGCTGAGAAAACTGAATATCCACATGAAAAAGAATGAGGTTAAACCCTTACCCAACACTATACATGAAAATTAACTCAAAATGGATCAAAGAAAAATGTAAGACCTAAAACTATAAAACTTTTAGAAGAAATAGGGCAAAAGCCTCACAATGATTTGGATTTGGCAATGATTTTTTGGATATGACACCAAAGGCATAGGCAAAAAACAAAAAATAGACCAACTGAATGTCATAAACATTTTAAAAATGTGTGCATCAGGCCGGGCGCGGTGGCTCACGCCTGTAATCCTAGCTCTCTGGGAGGCTGAGGCGGGCGGATTGCTCGAGGTCGGGAGTTCGAAACCAGCCTGAGCAAGAGCGAGACCCCGTCTCTACTATAAATAGAAAGAAACTAATTGGCCAACTAATATATATAGAAAAAATTAGCCGGGCATGGTGGCTCATGCCTGTAAGTCCCAGCTACTTGGGAGGCTGAGACAGAAGGATCGCTTGAGCCCAGGAGTTTGAGGTTGCTGTGAGCTAGGCTGACGCCACGGCACTCACTCTATCCCTAGGCAACAAAGCGAGACTCTGTCTCAAAAAAAAAAAAAAAAAATGTGTGCATCAAAAGACGGTATCACCAGAGTAAAAAGGCACCCCACAGAATGGGAGATAATATTTAAAAATCACATTATCTGATAAAAAATTAATATCTAGAACACAGAGAACTTCTAAAAGTCAACAACAAAAATATTTGACTTAAAAATGGGAAAAGACTTAGACATTTCTCCAAAGAAAACATGCAAATGTCCAATAATTACATGAAAATACACTCAACATCACTAATCAGTAGAGAAATGCAAATCAAAACTACAATGAAATAACCACCTCACACCCATTAAGATAGCTACTACCAAAAAAAAACATTCATTGGCAAGGATGTGGAGAAACTGGAACCCTTGTGCACTGTTGGTGGGAATGTAATATGGTATAGCTGTGGTATAAACAGTATGGAGCTTCCTCAAAAAATTTAAAAATAGAATTTCCTGGCCGGGCATGGTGGCTCATGTCTGTAATCCTAACACTCTGGGAGGCTGAGGCGGGCGGATCCTTAGAGCTCAAGAATTGGAGACCAGCCTGAGTGAGCAAGAGTGAGACCCGGTCTCTACTAAAAAATAGAAAAAAATTAATTGGCCTCCACTTTAATTAAACTAAAAATATATGGAAAGAATTAGCTGGGCATGGTGGCACATGCCTGTAGTCCCAGCTACTTGGGAGGCTGAGGCAGGAGGATTGCTTGAGCCCAGGAGTTGGAGGTTGCTGTCAGCTAGGCTGACAGCCACAGCACTCTAGCCCGGGCAACAGAGTGAGACTCTGTCTTCAAAAAATAAAAATTAAAAAAAAAAAATAGAATTTCCATGTGATCTAGCAATTCCACTTCTGGGTATATATTCAAAAAACTGAAAGCAGTGTCTGGAAGAGCTATTTGTACAGCCATGTTCATAGCAGCATTATTCACAACAGCTAAAACATGGAAGCAACCCAAGTATCCACCAACAGATAAATAGATAAGCAAAATATGGCACATACATACAATGGAATGTTATATAGCCTTAAAAAGAAAGGAAATTCTAACATATATGATAACACAGATGAAACTTGAGGATGTTATGACTAGTGAAATGAGCCAGTCACAAATAACTAGGATCCCACTTTTATGAAGTATTTATAGTAGTCCAAATCAGAGACAGAAAGTAGAATGGTGATTGCCAACTCTGGGAATGGTGTGAGGATGGGGAGTTACTGTTTAAGGAGTATGGAGTTTCAGTTTTACAAGAGTAAAGAGCTATGGAGAAGGATGATGGTGATGGTGGCATAATATGAATGTATTTAAGTACCACTGAACTATACACTTAAAATGGTTAAGATGGTAAATTTTATGTATTTTTTACCACAATTAAAAAATTGGAAAAACAATTCTATGATTCTATAAAAACAAAATGAGTGGGAAAAAACTCTAAAAAATAAATAATAAAATAAAGAGGTGCTAAAGATGGGGGGTATGCAATAAGCATTTGTCCTTCCCAGCTTTTTTTCCCCCATGTTCATGACTTCTGTTATATAAATCCCTAGTCCCTATGAGCAGATAGTGTGTCTCTAAGATTGGCTTACTTGCTAAAGTTTGGTTCCTTCAATCAAATAGTTTATGAAACCCTATGCAAACTATTCTTGAAGAATACACAAACCACTGATCAGAGTTAAACTCCCTAAACTTGATGCCTAAATCTGAAGCTACAAATATATTTTAAATCTCTGTATCACTAAAAAGTACTTGCTCCAAATATGATATAAACTTAAATCGGTCATGGTTTAGTTTATTATAGAATTCATATCAAGAAATTTGTCAGAAAAACAAAACACAGAGAGAAAAAATAGAAAAAGAAACAGGAAACAGGTATTTCCAGAAACAGATGTCTTTCATTAAAATTCTTTTAAAATATTATGTAAGTAAAATAATTCAGTGAAAAAGCAACATGAGTTAGATGTATATTTCTTAGCCTTCAGTATTAATGATTAATGGATGATTCAGTTAATGGAATAGCTTCAGTTTCCAAATTTCAATCAAAATGTAGAAAAAAAGTTAGTAGTAAATTAGCAGTTAGTTAAATAATGGACTATAAAGTTATAAATCTGAATGACTAATTTCAGTGTACTGTGATCAAAGGAAAGATAGATCTCTTGATAATTCAATGTTTTTATACTATAAAACCAGAAGTCTGATGTTGCTGTGAGCTAGGCTGATGCCAGGGCACTCTAGCCCAGGCAACAGAGACTCTGTCATAACTAACAAACTAACAAATAAATAAATAAATAAGCTTCCATCTTGGATGCTCTTTCTTGAATCACTTGCCCTTGGGGAAGCCAGCTACTGCATGGTGAGGTAATCCTATAAAGAAACCCTCATGGCCGTGAACCTAGGCCTGATAACAGTCCAAGTGTAAGTACACTTGGACTGAGATCTTTCTCCACCTCAGTGGAGTCTTCAGATGAGATTACAGTCCCCCAGCTACAGCTAGACAGCAACCTCATGAAAGAAAGCGAACCAACGGTTCTTGGTTAAGCTGTACCCTAATTCCTGATCCACTGAGATAATAAATGTTTGTTGTTTTGAGCTAGGGTAAAGTTGGAGGTAATTTATTACTCAGCAGTAAATAACTAATGAATGGTGTCATCAGAAAAATCGCCAGGTTAACTGGATAAAAATTAAAGCTTCTAGTTCAATTTGAAAAAAAAAAATGTATATATATATATATTTTGAGACAGAGTCTTGTTCTGTCACCTGGGTTAGAGTGCCCTGGCCTCAGCCTAGTTCACAGCAACCTCAAACTCCTGGGCTCAAGCGATTCTCCTGCCTCTGCCTCAGCCTCCAGAGTAGCTGGGATTACAGGGGAGTAGTTGGGATTACAGGCGTGCCACATGACCTCAAGCGATCCTCTCATCCTCTCCAGTTCCCAGCATGTTAGGATTACAGGCGTGAGCCACCCCGCCCGGCCTTAAAATTTATTTATCTTCCATTCTGAGACCTGCTTTATTTTGTAAACCATTTCCCTGGAAGGTACTGTTGAGAGGGTGGGTAGAACTCCTATTTCATAAATATGGTTATCAAACTCCAAACATGAAAAGAAGGAAAAGGAAAACATAAATAGACTTCATTTTGCAGTAATAAAAGTCATGATATATTGATTTGGGGAGAAACCCCTAGGATCCTGGAAATAAAAATTTTACTTGTAAAACAAGTAAAATAAATTATGGAATTAGCAAATAGGGAATCTAAAAATAAAACTAAAAAAATCCATTGACTGAGGATTGAGATTTGTTTATGTAATTTTGAATAGAATTCATTGAGCACTTACTGTGTAAGAGATTAGTGCCCAGTCACGGAGAAACAAATAAGACAAATCAAGATTTTGCCAAATTTTATAACCAAAGTTTGAATGCTACAGCAACTGGCAATACATCATGATCCTAAATATACTGCATGTGTTTACACTGGCATGACTGGAAAGTGGTAGAGAACCAAAAACTGTGCTTAGGAACCAAAATAACACTAATACCCAATAAGCACCACTTGGGCCGGAAAGAAACCCTCGCCACTTATCGGCTTTACTTGAGAACGACGCTGAGTTATTACCCGGGGTCCCAAACCTACCCACACCCCAATGGCCTAGTAACAGAAGGAACACACCTATTTCCGCCTCTTCACACTGATTCCTCACTTTTATAAGCCACTACTTCTGTCACTCAAAATGCTTTGCACTGTCATTGGCCCCAAATTCCTGCCGGTCGGCCAGTTTCAACCACCTAGCAAGCACTGGTTGTCTTTATTTCGGAGAAGAAAAGTGAAGGTGTACAGGACAAAGAAGCGAGAGATCAGAAATATCCTAGGCTGACGCTTGTACCTGAGCGACCTGCGATCCCCACCGCCGCCGCGACGAATCTGCCTCTGGGTAGGGGCTTTCAGCCAAAAAGAAAATGGCTCAGCCGGGAAGTGGCGCTTAGGCCATGGAGAAGCCGGTTCAAAGTTCACTTGTCCTCGCCGGTGGAGGTGAGGGTGGTGAAAAGACCAGAAACAGCACTACACCCTTCTGAACTCAAGAGAACCTCAAGCTGCAATGGCCAGAACTGCCGACTGTCCGTGTTTTGACGTTTCCTATTGTTGCCGGAAGTGACGTTGGGGCTCTGAGTCTTAACGAAGAAGCATTTTCTATTTCCGTTGTTTACGATTCGCCATAGATTCTTTGCTTCTCACTTCCCAGCCCGAGCCATTCTGACCATCAAAATTATGCAAACTTAGAATCTGCAAGTTAATATTGGACTGGCCATTGAAGAGGCTCTCAGAAGAGCCGCTTTCCTCAAGGATCTTAACGAACGCGGTGTGGAATCTGCAGCGAGGAATCGTGGAGCACTGCGGATCCCTCAGCTTTGAAGGTTTTACCGCGGTGCGTGGCGGGCTTGAACTCATCCTTCCAAATACAAACGGTCGGCGCGAGAAGTGCTCCTGGGCGCAGGCGCCGGACAGCTGGGACTCGTTGCTGGAGGCTGGGTTCGGGGGGCTGTCTCCGGTTGCATATGCTCCCTCCTCTCTTTGTCGTGCCGGGCCGGAGGCCTTCGGAGCCCGCTTCCGTGCTCGGCGGCTGCTGGGTGAGCCCCGGGGAGCCCGCGAGGGTGGCCCTAGGTTGGGCAGAGGTCCCCCTTCTGCTGCCGTCACCGAGACCCCGGGCGTGGGCATTTAATGACCAGGTCCACCTTGTCAGCCTTTTAATTCGAGTGGCGGGAGGGGAGCTCTACGTGGGCCTTTCTTGTGTGCCCAACTGGTGTATGCTGTTAGTAACAACGAAGTAGAAAGAATCGTGGCAGCTCATAACATCAAAATTAGGTTGTGATTTAGGATGGGAAATTATAGATTTACTGATTCTTATTGGATCCTGAGGTGAGGCCCCATCGGGCTCTTCCAGGATACCGGCTGGAAGGAAGCAGTTCAGATTCTCCTTGCTTTCATTTCTCCGGTGTTTCAAATATTTTCACACCTTCCTTGAAGACTACAGAGTTTTCCCTCACTATAAAAAAAATCAATCTTGAAATTTTTATTCTTTTTATTCTGGAACTATGGCTATATTGGACGATTCTCCCCCCCCCCACACAGAATTATCTGCAAGCTTTTTAACAGTTTTGTATGTGAACACAGCAGTCCCACTGAGTCTATACTTGTCCCTTACTCCCTTTTTTTCCCAGTTTGCTCAATGCTTTCCCTTTCTCAGACCTTTTTCCTTACCTCTTAGAGAAGTATTTCCCAACTGTCTTTTGTGAAAAGTTTCATAACCTTAATTTTTCCTCATCTTTACTCCTGTATTTTCGATATATGGTTTTTAGATAATATCGAATGTTGTTATGCCATAAACTCTTAGCCATGACTATAATTGTTACAGTGTATTTGCTTCATTCTGAACAAAATCATGTTAACTCCAGTGGGATTCTATTGGGAGGCATCGTTTTAATGACCTCGAGCAGCAATGAGACTGAGCTAGGTTAAAACTGCTAGCTAGAGCGTGCGTTTTCACGACCTTTCCCACACATTTAATTGGTCAGATCTGACTTGTAAACAGAAAGAAACTCTGGAGAAGCAAGGAAGCAATATTGACATCTTCTTAATGATTGGATCTATGATACAAGCTGAGTAGTATCTCTTTTTTTTCTTTTAGTTTCTTCTGATAAGAGTTATTAGGTGAAAATATTAATTTAAGTAAAATTATTTTTCATCATCTCCGAAAATACTGTGTCGAAATGTGCATAAATAGTAGATCGGCTCATTTCAATCTCTTAATTTTATTGTTTTTAAATTTTATAGTAGACTTAATAAAACCTTTCATACAAATGTAGAGTAGTAGCTATAATTTTTTCTATAATCACATTTCCTTGTCCCTTTGTTTTTTTCTGTCCTGTCTTATCACTTATCTCCTTCACCTACAGATCCAAGCTGTACTTGCATCTTACTCTTCTTCAAAATATTAATTCTGCTGGTAATGAAGAGGATGTGTTCCAGGGAGATTGTTGTCAGAAATTCCATGACAAAGGTAGAAATAATAATGTAAGAGACATTGAAATGTGTTCCAGGACATCAGATAAAAGAAAGATGAAAAGATACCATAAAGTGTTACATAAAACAAAATTACATGTATTGGGAAGATGAAATATACATTTGGAAGGACTAAAGGAAGTCTGAGGGAGGAGATACAATTTACATTAAAGTTACAGAATGTCTTTCAGGAAGAAGGCACCCCTGGAAGAATTGTGTTCAGATAGATAAGAAAAACAATCTCAGACCCATGATATTGGCCAATGGAAAAACCCAAGAATTGCTTTTTTGCAGTTATAGCCAGCTTAGTTTTTATTTCATCTTTCTCAGAAAAGTAAGGGTTGGTCTTGGAAAATTTCTCTTATTGCTTCCATGTGTCCATTACCTCCAATCATCCTAAAAGATGTTATATAAGTTTTACTTTCTTGGCCAGTGTTTTGCATAATGTGATTTCAGGATCACTTTCTCTTTTTCTAGTGACCTCTCATTTGACTGTACCTGAAATTTGCTCTGCCTAAAAATGTAAATATTTAGTTAAAATAATTGATTGGCTGAAAAATAGTGACTAAAATGCCCATGCACAAGCATATCGAAAAGTCAACTCAATAACGTGTTCTTTACCATGTAGATAAAGGAGAGTAGACTAGGAACAGGAAGGTAGTGTTCCTAAAGAGAGGAGTAGTCACTCTAGCCTGGAGAAATGGCTACAGAAATGGGCAGCTAGGGACTTAAAGGAGAAAGCTTCCTAAATCTAGGTATTTGCAAATTGCTAGCCTTATTACCTGTAGTTATGTATAGATACACAGAAGGTAGTATATAAGGAGATGATTTGTATCCTGGGCAGTTGCTGGAATTCGGACTAGGTGAAAAGATAGATCATACTAACTATTTCACTTGTTTATTTTCAACAATTTATGAATTGTTCTGGTTTTTTCTTTTTTTGTCACTGTTTTTAATGCCAATCACTTCATTTTAAAGGAGCTTCATTTTCAGAGGATTCATTGTTCAAGGTATTGTTATGTATTATTTTCCTTCTATGAAGTATCCACAGAGAATTGAAATAGATATTTTTAAGTAAGTTATTGAGTTTTGCCTTACTGGTTGACTAGACTTACAGTTCAGAAACCTTTTACTTCCTTCCTGCAAAGGTTCTTAATAATTTATTTACCTATCTACCTATTAATTTTATGATCTTCCTTTGGGGAAAACCTTTGAAAATCTAATGAAAGGCCTATTCTTTGTAATAAAATGAGTTATTTAGGAATAAATTCCATAGTATTATATTTTGGGCAATTTAAAAAAATGATCCATTTTATTTAAAATCTCAGGTTGTTTATATCTTTTGGTTCACACATATATGTATTTCTATTATACACATTTTCAGATTCATGTTCTTATTTCACAGGCCATATGTATGTTAGGTTGAGTAGATATCTCCAGTAAGTTTTCCAAAGTAATTGTACCAATTGACCCTTCCACAGCATAGATATTTCATGTGTTTTGATGCTCTGTTGTTAGGTACATACATACATGTTAAGGATAGTTGTTTTCTTGGAGACTTAACTCCTTTTATCATTATATAATACCCCTCTTATCCCTGACAACTCTCCTTTTTACTATATCTTCTCTGTCTGACATTAATATAATTGCCCCCGCTTTCTTTTGATTAGTGTTAGCATGGTATATTTTCCCCTATTTTTCATCTATATGTATCTTTATATTTACAGTGAATTTTGTATAGATAACATATAATTAGATCTTGTTTTTTGATCCACGCTGACAATCTGGCTCATTTTAAATTCTCACAAGGTGTTTATTTTTTATATCCTCCTATTCTTATTTTAGATTTTAATATTCTAATCTGACTGAAAATATTATACCTTTTATTTTGAAATTTTCTGTTATTTCTTGTATTGTCTCTATTTCCATAAAAGTTTTCCTTTTTGAATTGGTCTTTCCCTTTCATGATGAAGGCTTTCCTCTTAATAGTTATTGGCCTTTGAGCATACATTTAGTTTTAAACATTAGTCTCTGTAAAAAGGTACACAGCTAGGGCTTGTCAATGGGTGAGTTTTGCTTCAGGCTTATTGTGCAAGACCTGGCCTTTTCAATGTGGATTCCCCTCAAATGTCAGTAGTGTTAGCATATTTTTTTCTCTAGGTCCATCTACTTTCTGTAGAGTAGAACTTGACAGTCTGCTTCCCTGGAGAACTTAAAGTCTGGTTAATGGCCTTCTTGTAGCTTTTGATTTAAAGTGAGATATGGGAAAAATGAAAAAAAAAAAGAGGAAAAAAATAGCTTTCTTGAAGCTGAGATATAGGAGGAGGCAATACTGTGCTATATATACATATATATATTTATATATTATGTGTGTATTATATATGTGTGTGTGTGTATATATATATATATATACACATATAATTTTTAAAAACATATGTTTGCTTTCCAGCATGTTCCATACTTTTTGCCTTGTCTGATGTTTCCAAATTTGGTGTCTCTTTGGTTCACTTTCTTTAGAATGTAAATTTCTTTTTCTCTTTCCAGTGAAGGAAAGGGATAGTTGCCTAGCTGAGTGAGTTATATGTGTGGGTATAGGAGGGGGTAGGACAAGTAAAAAATCTAGGGTTAGCTGCCCCTTATGTAGACTTTCAAATGATCATTCTTATTTAAGCCACCTGGACTTAACCCTCTGCCTTTCAGAAGTATGAAGTACCCCTCATTTGTGAAACTATCTTGCTTCTGTTGGTTTCCTCCTAAATAGGCAGATGGGATTGTTCTGTCTTTGCTAGGTTAGTTATCACTTATCCATCTGCTTTTCATTTTCCAAAATTTTGTTGATGACTCTTTTGTCATCTGAAATCTCTGATTCTCTTTGTCCTGGTGTATATATATGTTTTTTAATTATTTACTTTCATGTTAGTGGTGTTTAGAAAATAGAAATGAAGGTAGCATGCATTTAATCTGTCATATTTAACCAGATGAAACCTGCATTTTTAAAAAAACTCATCTGTTTTTATTTTTTAGAAAAGGCATCTGGTTGGCAACTATGTGAGGTTAGAGCCCTATGACTCTGACTAAATCTGTACTAGATTTCTTTGTCTCCATTTTTTACTGATTGTATCATACAGCCTCTATAAGCATCCAAAATAGTCATTGATGGAAGTTATTTCTACTTGATCCATCTGCTCAAATGGTACTTTATTGTTCAAAATAGAGTGGGAGAATGTCATATGAGACACATTGTACAAACAGGAATATAAGGCAAACTTCTTTTTAGTATGGAAAAAGTATTGGAGAGTGGAGAAGAAGCTCATCTTATATTCAGGAATTTATAGTAGATAGTAAAGCACTACTTCACTGTTTGGGAAAATAATTAGAGGAGAAAGAGCTAGGATAAAATAAATAAAGGTAAGTGCCAATAGGAGATAAGAACAAAATAAAATAGAGAAGCTTCAGAAAATACACAGACTAAAGCAGTGTTTCATACATTTTTATCTTTAGGTGAAGAATTAGATTATTTCAAGAGGTGGAGCTGAATCTATTGTTAAATAATGGCAACAGGTGACTTAAAAAGAAGCTTACGGAACCTAGAACAAGTGCTTCGCTTGCTAAATTATCCTGAAGAGGTGGATTGTGTAGGGTAAGCTATAATCTTGAACTTATTTTTATTGTTTTTGCTAGTGATTTGAGATAATATTTGACATGGGGGGTACCTAAAGAAAAATCAGATTTTATCTGGATTCTATTTAAATTTACCTTGAAATGATTAAAATATTTGAGAAAAAGACATATAGGAGATTATGGCTAAGTATTAATTAATAAAAAATTCCAACCCAAGAGATTTAAAACACCATTTAGAAGCACAGTATTTTTCAGTGTAGGATGTGATCTCTGTGCAACTTCTAAACTCGTAGAAGTATAGTGTTTATTCCTGTTATAGAGGATAGGTTTTATACATTTAAGCCAAGTGTTCTTTTGATATGGAAGATTCTAGTTAGTAGATTTCTTTATGGCAGCCTGAAGATTATTATTAAGCTATTTAACAGACCTCATTATGAACCTATCACATTGGATTCAGTTTTCCAAGTATGACTTATTTATTTTTGTAGTTTATACCAACATAGATTCCTGCTACATTCATGTCAAACTAATATGATATTCCATGTTATTCTTCTATCCCTTAATGTTCTGTTTCTTTATAGCACTTATTCATACCTTTTATCATTGATTAGTTGATGCAGCAATTAAATGTTTCCCTTCAGCTTAATGTTAATAGAATGTAAGCTGAGGTCTGGGACTTTGTTTTGTTCACTGTAGTATCCCCACATGTAGAATTGGGCCTGACACATAATAGGAGTTAATTAGACACTTATTGAATGAATGAGTGTCAAGGGACAAGTCCAGATTAGGCATATATTCAAGAATTAGAGTGAAATTTGATTAAACCAACTGCTAATTAGAATCCTTGAGTACTGGGCTTACATATAAGAATGGATGTTCTAATTGTATACTAGAGAAAGCTAACCTCAAGAGGAGGTTACAAATGAAAGGATAGGGAGGAGAGTAAGGAGAAAGTTTAGCTATAATTACAGTTATTACAGGCATTATATGTGAGAAGCAGGAAGTATGAAACAAATGTAATCCAAGTATGTACCAATCATCTTGGTACCTCGAAATATGAAAATCTTGATAGTCCAGAACTTGCAGGAACTTAACCAGTTTATTAAGTAGCCAAGTTTTATCCTTGCCCACTTTAAGCATCAATATTTGAAAAGAACATTTTAGATAGGATTAATTCTAAAGTATACCAATATTCTCTTGTTTTCTGAATATAATGTTTAAACATTTAGTTTTCTTAATTGCCCAAGAACATCATTAAGAACAATAACTTTTAGAATATTCTGTAACATCCTAATATCTGCAGGGTCTGTTGAGATCGGCCTTGCTGCTTTTCCAAAGAGACTCACATTACTACCCTCCCGCTGCCACGCACATACGTGTACACATACAACATCCCCACCGCCAACATAGTTTGAATTCTTTCTGCTTTTTCACATTTTTAATTTTTTCTGGCCACTTAATGTTTTTTTGTGTTAGTATGCCGGTTTGCAATATTTGTTTTTCTTACTATTTCTGATCTGCTAAATCCTTAGAAACTAAATAGCCAAGGTTTTTGAGATTTTTTAATGTAAGAAGTGTTAGAAGTGGGCCTGGCTGTCATCTATTCACAATGTGCATAAAATGGACAGATTTTGCTATTCAAAGGTATTTTTTTCATTCCATTTTTAAACTCTGTTCTAGATAGACAAGAGTGCTAGAGTAGTTTTCTGATTGGGTAAATAGTGTTGTGCCTATAAAGAAGCATAAAAGAGAAACAATTTATATTTGTCCTGAAAAACAAAATGCAGTGTTATCATCACATATGTGTTCCCTGCCTTTTAAAAAATTTGGGCAGGGATAGGGATATTTATGTGTATGTCTTGAATTTCATGGAAAACATTTGTATTTTATGTAAATGTAATATTACATCAATTGAACAAATAACTGAACATATATCTCCTGAGCATTGTTGTGGGAGAATCAGTGAAGGTACTTCACACTATGAAAATAAGACAATCAGAAAACACTATAAGACAGGGCACGAGGCAATAATACTGATTACCTTATGAGTCATTCTTGGAGAGATCAGTATAGATCGGAAAAGTTGAGGATGGCTTCGTGGAAGGCTTGGGATTTGACAAATGATTTTTAAAGAATGAGTAACTGTTGTATAGGCAGAGAAGATTCGGTTACCTTTCTAGACTGGAGGAATTAGCATAAGCAAATAAGGTACAAATTTAGAATGAGCAATAAGTAGAAGAGAGTAAATTGCTCAGCCTAGTCACAGTACTTGCTTTTTCCAGCTCTGCTTTCCTCACCTATAACTTAGAATATTTACCTTTGTAAGTTTGTGGTAGAAAGCAAATGAAGTTAATTTAAGAAGTGTTTGCAAAACCACAAAGTGTACTTCAGTACTATAAGATAGTACATTTGTTTTATTAGTAGGAGAAAATAGAATAGATCAAGTAAGACTAAGCTTTTTTTTTTTTTTTTTTTGAGACAGAGTCTCGCTTTGTTGCCTAGGCTAGAGTGAGTGCCGTGGCATCAGCCTAGCTCACAGCAACCTCAAACTCCTGGGCTCAAGCAATCCTTCTGCCTCAGCCTCCCAAGTGGCTGGGACTACAGGCATGCGCCACCATGCCCGGCTAATTTTTTCTATATATATTAGTTGGCCAATTAATTTCTTTCTATTTATAGTAGAGACGGGGTCTCGCTCTTGCTCAGGCTGGTTTCGAACTCCTGACCTCGAGCAATCCGCCCGCCTCGGCCTCCCAGAGAGCTAGGATTACAGGCGTGAGCCACCGCGCCCGGCCTAAGACTAAGCTTTGAAAAATCAATAAACACTATGTTAAATAGACTGTTAGTACTAGAAAGCTACGGTAATTTATTTACTTATTTATTTATTGCTGAGAACCACTGCCATAGTAAGAGTTGCAGTAATTTTCTGAGCATATGAGCAATAGTATTTTGTGGTAGTCTGGCTAGATGGGTTTAGAATGAGGGGTGGAATCTAGAGGGTCTCATATATCACCTAATTATTTTGGCTATCGTGTTAAGTTATTAATTACTGACATTTCTAATATTTCTTGATTATCTAAGTTTGTGGAATTATACTTATTAAAAGTCATTTTCTTTTTTCCCCTGACAGTTTGATAAAGGGAGACACAGCAGCATGTTTGCCAATCATCAGTTATTCTTTTACCTCATATTCACCTTATGTAACAGAACTTCTGATGGAATCCAATATAGAACTCATAGCAAAGAATGACTTGCGCTTTATAGATGCTGTCTATAAGGTACTTTGAGTCTATGAAACCCTAATTATTTTAGAAGGTATTGAATGATTTTTAGAAAATAATATTTTAGTACTAACTCTTTAAATATATGCAGCACATATCATTGGCAGAATATTTTCGTATACATTTATCGCATTTAAATGTAGTCCCTATTGAAATCAAAATGCAATTCAAATTTGCTTTGTGACTATTTCCTACTGTAATAAATATGGCAACTGGTAACATTTGTCATTGGCTATCATTTGCCCTTTTTGTGTCAAATTCCGGTAAAAAATCCTGGCAGAAGTTAGAAATGTGATTATATTCAGAAAAAGTTGCAGTTTATAGAAATATGAGTTAATTCAGTTGTTTGTAAGAAGAAACTAAAACTTTGAGATGTTATATTGTTTGATGTCTGAGATAGTGTCATATTTTATATCTACATTTGTACTATATGTATACTGAATTTAATCCACTATTTGATTTTTTAAAACTCTTTTATCATTAATTTTTTCTCAATTACTGTGTTTTTTTAAAAAACTTTGTTTTTTAATGGTAAAGCCCATTTATCAAATCTAATCTTTTTTTTAAAAAAAGTAGAGTTGCATTTGATGAAATAGGAGCTTTTATATGTAGGGTCTCTGTTTAATCTTCCCATTGCTTTTTTTCTAATCCCAGAAAGCTTCCATGGAAACCTAAGAGGCATTTCTAAGACATTCTAGAGTTCCACAGAGTAGCTTTTGGAAACTACTGGTCTAGTCTATTTCTCTCATTTTACAAATGAGAATTTGAGACCAAAAGGCCTACTGACTTGTCTGAAAATTACGTAATGGAAGAATTATAAACAAATAGAACTATGGCTTTCTGACAGCTGGTATGGTATTCTATTGAGCTAAGGAAATTTTCTAGTATATATGAGGATATTTAAACTTTTTGATGATTGACTATATTTTTCCATCTCTCTCAACAGCCGTTTCTTCTCTGGCACATCTCTAGCTCCCTGTTTCCTACCTGGATACCTCTCTTCCTGGTCATGACTCACACCAGCCCTGTAAATTTCTTTAGCTGTAGTTAATGGCCTGATCCTCCTTGTCCTCTCAAAGGTGGCCATTACTCTCCCGACCAAGTGGCCTTTTATCATTTTGGATTTTAAAAAGAAATTTGTAATTATTACATTGATCTGTTTGCTCTTTGCAGCTTCTTCGTGATCACTTTGATTATAAACCTATTTTGACAAAAAAGCAATTTATCCAATGTGGGTTTGCAGAATGGAAAATCCAAATTGTTTGTGATATTTTGAATTGTGTGATGAAAAAGCACAAGGAATTAAGTAGTCTTGAGAAGGTAATTTTATGAATAGATTTTAATGGTAACTTACAGTAAGTGGCTCAATATTTTAATGTATAAAATCAATACCCTAGATAGTAAATTATTATGTAGTGTAATTACTGCATTATTCACAGATTTGAGTACCCTTATAAAGCTTATGTTTATTTTATATACTAATCACTTAATTTTACACATCTGTGATTTGGAACTGCGAGTCCTAAATTAACAGTACAAATATAATGTATTTTCATCACTTTTTGGTTTTCAAAAGACATGTAGTCTCATTAAAGCTTCATTATTTGTCAGTTACAGTTCATATATGTAAATTCAAATGATAATGAGTTTTAACATATTTTATGCTTTCACACAAAATTTGTTATTTTGGCTAATGCATTCTTTTTCTTTAAGACTCCATCACAACAAAGAAAGAAAACCAATTCTGGCAAATCAGAACCTTGTGTGAACAATGAGAAAATATCTGCAGAAGCTGTTGGTGTTGACATCACTGGCAGGTTTATGACTTCAGGAAAGGTATAACCTGTGTCATATAGTGTAAGAGTTATCTATCTAATTAATCAAATATATAAGGTTCACTTTTCTGACTGGCACTTAGTGAAACACTCTAGTTAGATTTCAGAGTATAGGGGTTTTTAACAGTGCATGTCATATACTGTCTGGGGAATATTCATAAAGTTATAAGGATAACTATAAACTATAACAAAGTTATAGGGATAGAAATGTAAAATTAAGCAAGCCTTCTCTTTATATTTCTAAAGTCGAATTCTGCCTTATTTCTCAAATAGAAAGTAATGATTTAGGAAACTTATATTATGTAGTCATTTATATTTGCTTTTAATTATGTATCTGGTGTTTCTAAAATGTGGGAACACATTAAGAGCCTACATTATTAATAGTGATAGTCATGATGATTCTTTACACACAATCATGTTGCTATAATCAGCACTGCACCCAGCTGCCGCGGCCCGTTTATAGGACGGGGGATGAACACGGAACATAAAAAACGACACGGACAAACAAGAACAGTACATGACTCGAGTGTCCAATGCACTGGTCGCTTTATTTTTATACCCCCCAGACCCAAGGTTAGTTTCTTGTACATGAGCATCTGAGCATAGCAGCTATAGCCATCAATTCCGGAGTTGTTTTACAAGGGAACAATGGTCCCATGCTCTCAGACCTCAAAACGGTTACTTAAGGTGCTAGACATAGCTCAAAAGCCAAGGCCGAGATAAGCAACATAAAGCAATGCAGCCATCTGTAGAACTTCTTGTTCTCTTTCCCAGCCAGCAGCTCCTTCTGGCCAGCAGCCAGCCCCCACAGCTTTGCCTGTCTTAGGTCGCCCCTCCCTTGAGGGATCTTACCCATCACTCGCTACCAGCCATCACATGGGGCCGGGCCTTGGGAATGTCCTTCTTATCTTTATGGTCTCCAGACTCCCACCACGGGGGTCCACCGTGTGGTAGCTGGGCAACATTTGCTTACGTGCAGAAACTCATACCTCTTATCATGTCACGAGGCAGTAACCATGTCTGAAGAAAATGCTGACTGCTGCTGCGTCATGCAGCTCGCGTACATTACAGGCTATAGTGAACGATCAGTATAAGGCATAACGTCAGAATCGGCCCCCAACACCCAGCCTGCCACTTTTTTTTAATGTGCCTTTTTTGCTCTAGGTAATGAGGACAATAAGAAAAGGAATTATAGGAGACATGGAGCCTGGCACAGTGGCTCACGCCTGTAATCCTAGCACTCTGGGAGGCCGAGGCAGGAGGATCACTTGAGCTCAGGAGTTGGAGACCAACCTGAGCAAGAGTGAGACCCCATCTCTACTAAAATAGAAAAATCACCCAGGCTAAGTGGCATGCACCTGTAGTCCCAGCTACCCGGGAGACTGAGGCAGGAGGATCACTTGAGCCCAGGAGTTTGAGGTTGCATGAGCTAGGCTGACACCACGGCACTCTGAACAGGACAACAGAGTGAAACTCTGTCTCCAAAAAAAAGAAAGAGAGAGAGACATGGTTTCTGAATAAATGCCCATACTTCTTGTCAACTTGAATCTGTAGCTTATCTAACTCTTGTTTGTTTTATATGGTTTTATTTTCTAACTGCTAAATTATTTTTATCTTGTATTTTTCTCCAGCTAGAACTTGTATAAATGGAGATTTTCTTATACTGGTGTTTTTGTACCTTAATTGTGCTTAGCAAGGATTAGGCACATTGTAAGCACTTATTAAATATGAGTTGATAGAACTAAATGTACTTTTAAGTTTTCTATTTAAGTATGGGGTTGAGGAGCAATCTAAATTGTTCTAACAAAGAAAAATGCACAATTTCAAAACATTAGATTTGTTTTTAAATTTCTTAAAGCAGTTTTCTTTGTTATCTGTCTATCAAAATTTAGTGAATTCAGCCGGGCATGGTGGCTCATGCCTGTAATCCTAGCACTCTGGGATGCTGAGGTGGGTGGATCACTCAAGGTCAGGAGTTCGAAACCAGCCCGAGCAAGAGCAAGACCCCATCTCTAGGCCGGGCGCGGTGGCTCACGCCTGTAATCCTAGCTCTCTGGGAGGCCGAGGCGGGCGGATTGCTCAAGGTTCAAAACCAGCCTGAGCAAGAGCGAGACCCCGTCTCTACTATTATATGTAAAAAATTAGCCGGGCATGGTGGCGCATGCCTGTAGTCCCAGCTACTCGGGAGGCTGGGGCAGAAGGATTGCTTGAGCCCAGGAGTTTGAGGTTCCTGTGAGCTAGGCTGATGCCACGGCACTCTAGCCTGGGTAACAAAGTGAGACTCTGTCTCAAAAAAAATAAAAAATTAGTGAATTACATTAGATCTTTAATTATCAGAAATTAGAATAAGTATTAAAAGTTCTCAGATTTAGAAAAGTTAGAGTCTATAAGTACATTTCTTTGTTTACAGGCAAAAGTTAAATCAATGTGAAAGGAAGTTTTCTCCTTTCTCAGTGCCTTATACAGAGTGCTATTTGTGACTTCTGTCACAGTTTTTATAGTGCATATATGCACTGTGGAATACAAAGTAGGCAGAAGATTCCTGTGTAAATGTGCAGTTTGATCTAATGCCTTTTGTCAGATCTTTTCTTTTGTCATTATTAAGTTTGAATTATAAGCTGAAGGTCTATTATATTATAGATTGTTTAATAGAAAAAAAAGTTTAATGAGTCCTACTCACAGAGCCAGTTTTTAGCTATTTATATGTGAATTACATGGTAACCTTTTTTAAAAATAAATTTTGATTATGGAATGTTACAAACATTTACAAAAGTACCCATCATCTAGTTTCAACAATTTATCAACTTTTTGCTAATCTTGTTTCATCTTTATTCCTCAACATCTTCCCTCCCGAAACTGGAATATTTTGAAACAAATATTAGACATCATTTAATAAATATTTCAGTGTATTTCCTAAAATATAAGAATGCTTTAAAAAATCATAATCACAATTTCAGTATCATACATAAATCATTAGTAATATTAATAATTGTAGTGTTTTGTTATATATTATATGTGGTAATTTAAATTTCTTAAAATCTTTAAAGGAAGATTGGTGTTCCTTTTGCAGAATTACTGTGTGTGTTTCAAATAACTGTAGGAGGAAGACACTGAAGTATTTCTCACATATTTTTCTCTATGCAGAAGAAAGCTGTGGTGATCCGGCACTTGTATAATGAAGATACTGTTGACCCTCCTGAAGATACATTAATAAGTACAGTAACAGAAGTTAGTGAAGCAGTCCCTGTGTCTGCCGTACAGGCTACTGAAATAAAGATACCTGAAGTAAAGGTCCCTGAAATCAAGGCTGAGCAGCAAGTAAGAATTTTAGACTTCTTTAAAAGATGCCGATATTTCTTACTTTGATGTGTATGATTATTTCAGCTTCTAAACTTCGGGATACTTCTGGCCTTTTGAATTATTAATCATGACATATTATCTATGCTATCATTATGTAAGAATCAATATGTCTTACTGTATATAATTCAACAGATATTTGCTGCTTATGTTTACAGCATTGGGCCAAGTGTTACGGGTAATACGAAGAAGAATAAGACATGATACTTGGCTTCAACAGATACACTGCTTTGCACAGTGGAGGTTCTCTATCACCTATTTCCTGTATTGGTGTCTTCATTGGCTTTTCATTTTCCTTTCTGGGTCCTTGTCCTTTTCTGTCCCTCTTGTGATACCATTTCCATTGTTCTTGCTACAGACCCTCTACTGTTTCTGCTAAAACTATTTTTTATCTTCCTATGTCTTGTGACTTCTATACATCTCAGTATATCAGTATTCAGTTGGCACTTATAAAAATTACCAGATGGCCATAGGAATTATTTCTTGTTATATGGCAAACTGAGCAATCTCAATGCACTGTCGTTTTGTCATTTCCTCTTTGTGGTAGGTGTTATTCCAAGACGCAGTTAATGACAGTTTTATTTTACTACTTTGTATTGTTGAAGAAAGTTATGCAAATTAATTCATTTACTCACATAAGAATCATAAAAAGTAGGGACTAATATTATCTGTACATTTTTTAGGTGGTCATAAATCCAGATGAACTAGTTTCAGTGTCTAAGTAGTCTGCTTCCGGGGATGGCACTCCTCACTTTCATACTATACTGTGTCTCCTAACTTTTGAAATGACATAGTGGAAATGCGAATACATTGGTTTTAAAGGAATTTCAATTTGTATAATACTTTAAATCTTTCTAATCATTTTAGGATATAAAAGTTAATCCTGAGATTACTGCACTACAGACTATGCTTGCTGAGTGCCAAGAAAAGCTTAAAAAACTGACCTGGATAGAGAAAAGGTTAGAATGCTTGGAAGAAAAAATGAAAGGAAAAGTGTTGGTAAATGAAAAGATCTGGGCTAATCTTCTAAGTCGTGTCACTCTTCTTGAAACAGAAATACTTTTGTCTAAAAAGGTATTTACTTTTCTTTGCATTTATAGAATATATCAGATACAATGAAGTATTTCTTTTGTTATAGATGTGCTTTTTAGGAAATGCTAAATTCAAGAATATTTAGGTAATGGGAAAATGTTTACTTAGAATGAAGTCTTATTGAAATATAGCCCATTTTGTTGCGTGCTGTGGCTATTATTTTTCTCATTATCAAATGAGATAATCTGAAAAACCTGTACGTTGAGCATTTAGAGCTATGATTGATTAATACTTGAAGTAATTAAAATAGGATGAGAATATGATAGACTTTGTTTATGAAAAGCTTGAAATTATTTTATATCTTTTAATAGTACAAATGGTCTATTTTCACAGGGTGAAGAAAAAAATCAGTAGAGGAAAAATTAAAATTATAACCCTTCCTTTCTTTATTAACTGACTTATTTCAATCATAATATGAATTTCATAGAAATTCAAGTTACCGTATCAGCCATTGCCTTATCAAATCTGAGAAATTTGGTTTTTTTACTCAGAATTTCAAGTTCTGGTCTATCCTTCCTTCCTAGAGAGTGAAGTTGGTAGATTGAAGAAGTTTGCTATCTGCTTCCACATTTAAAAGATTATTTATTATTTATACAAATATACAATATATATTTTGCTTTATAAATTAAATAATTTAAGATATTTAAACATTTATCATACCATCTTTATATTTTAGACTGGGCAATAAGAATATAAAATTAGGAACATTTTTGTTTTCCATTCTAAATATTTAACTGTATTATTCCAGAGTGATGAATATATAGAGTATAATGAAATGAGTGAAGACTATACTTCTAGTAGTGACATGGATCTTCTAAATGTTGGTAAGTTCTTCAATGATATTAGAATTGGTGGTATGATAGGAGTTTTCAGAAAAATAATTTTATGGGTACTTGGTAATTTTAATATTCCCAAGCCTTATTGTTTAAAAATTACAAAGCTCTTAGAACAAAGGAAATAATGAACCAACAGACTACTAAAGGCAAGGATTGCATAAGAAGCCAGCCTGTTATTTATTTTACATAATATAGTGGGTGAATAAATTTCAGTGTACAAAATTATAAATTTTTGGAGATATTTTACTCTTTTAATCATTCTAGAATAATAAAGTGCTCTAAAATTTTATAATTGGCATCCAAGTTTTCTAACTTAAGTAATATCTTTCTCATATGAAAATAATGTATGTGAGAGAAGAAAACACATTTGTTAACATCTGTGGATGTTTAACATCATAAAATCTTTCAGCTACTACATATATAACAATAATAATAACAACACACTTTCTAGCATTATGTACCTGGCCTTGTTCCAACTGATGTATCAGCTCATTTAATTCTCAAAGCAACCATATAAAATAAGTACTATTATTACTTATTTTTCACAGATAAACTGCAGTATAGTAAGATTAAGTATGCCAGTGGTCACACAATTATTGAATGGGGAGCACATTTGAATCCCAACACCAACTTTCTCTGAAGTTATTTATTATTCACTACATTTTATTTAGTACACATGCCCAATTCATTGCACAAAGAATAATTTCATGATTAGGTTATTAAATATAATTATTTGAGGTGCTATTTAAGGCAACAAAATTTACTACAGACTACAGATTTCAGATTTGGTAAAATGTTGACTTTTTTCCCATTTATCTATCCAATTATTTATTCAACAAATATCAAAGCCAAAACTTTCTCTTATTGTCTGTCTAGCAGACAGAAAATATGTCTATACTTCTATCTCTAGTATCTGCATTTAGTAACTCAAACATTTACACATTAAAAGAATATTGAATGCCTACTATTTGCAAAACATTGCCTTTTGTAAGTTTGATTTTGTATGTTCAGGCTTTTTACTTTTTAATATTATTGCAGAATATATCTTTAACCTATTTAGAAAACACATAGCTAGATTTAAGCTACTGTGCTAGGACATAGAGTAATGAGCAGATAGGCCACTATTTGGAATGGATCATAGATTACGAATAGGGTAAAAACCTGGTCTCATATATTTTATAATCTGATCTAGATTAATAGAGTCAAATTTAAAAAGACTTACACGTCATACCTCACATACACATGTTACTTAGAAGCAGAGGGTTTGATTTCATTTGGATACAGAGAGCAATAATTTATCATTCTGGTCTTAGGATCATGTTAATCAGGTATTATTTTTGTGAAGTTCCAGATTTGTTTTGCCTTTATCAGAAATACAGTGTTCCATGGGGAGCTGTAAGGCATCTCAGTGTCTCAGTAAGAGTGAGTTACGAGAGGCTTTTAAAAGGATTGGGGTTTCCTTGAGTGATTTTGGAGAAGGTTTAAGGAAGCATGAGGGCTTTTCTGATTTGAGTGCTGTCAAGAAGTAGAGCAGTTTGATGATTGGATGATAAGAATGAAGTGAAGGTGAAATTTTTAGTGGAAAAGAAGCATTCATGTTAAGGGGAGAGAACTATAGCTTGTTATTTTTATGGTTACATGGTATCCTTGTTTTGTCTGTGTTCAGACTTGATTGGTTTTGTGTTATTTTGTTTCATTAAGATAATGAAGTGACCTCATGTGATGTTATTTTCTATGGAATTATTTATACTCAGTAGGGGATATGGTAACTTAGGTGCTAATTGCCAGAGAGGCCACCAATTGTCAGGGCTGTTTTTTGTTTATTTGTTTTGTGCCTTTTTTCCTCTCAGGAAAAAAAAAATATTACTAATAAAGATGTGACACCACAGAAGAGTGTGGTTTGTTCCAGTATGATTAGAAAAAAGTGTACATGTGGGCACATGAAAGAAGTTGAAGCAGCAGAGTAAAAAGGTCAAATCATGTAGTTTATCCCAGAGTCCTAGAAAGATTGTTACCAAAGCTAATATTCTCAGATTTGAGTTTCAGAAAGGTTATCATGATAGCAGAATAGTGATTTATCAGAGGAAAAGACAGACAGGCAAGGACAGTAATTTGAAGGGTATTTTAGTGATACTTATTTTGGAATAATAATGAGGATCTCTACTAAGGCAATGATACTGAGGATAAAGAGCATGTGACTTATTTGGGAGATATTTAAATGTTAAAATTGATAAGCCCTGATTACTGCTAGAAGTAGAAGGGATAAAGGAGAGGGAAAAAGTTAAGACTGGCTACTTATGCTTGGCTCATGTGATTGAGTAGATGGTTGTTACTCTTTAATAAAACAGAGAATTCAGGAGGAGGAGAAGGTTTGAGGAAAATAATAAGTTTACTTTTGAACATATTAAATTATATATGAAACACTTAATACAAAATATCCTCCAGAAATCAGTTGGCTATACACATCGGTCCTTGATTTGGAAGTACTGGCTTACAAATTACTAAACAGTAAAGGACCCAACTGGTTCTCTTAATGGAATAGGGTGATAATCCTCCAAAGTTGGCAGTGAAAGATTAATGGTCACATGGGGAGAGTTGGCTGGAAGATCTAGCATTACAAGATTCCCTTTCTTCACAGTGATCTCTTTGCAGTCACCACTGACTGATCTCCATAACAGCTGGCATCAGGGGCCACCACTTTTCCCTTTTATTTTCAACCTGAACTTAGTTACCAGTTCTTTTCTCAATCCCCTGTAGCACAGCTAAGAAACCATTAATGTTTAAGAAAGTATGATTTACTAAAGGCTCAGGAGAGCAACAGGAAAAATAATCATAGAAAGTGACATGCTCTTAACTGATCTGGCCATTAAATATGGCTGGTGTTCTGCATATGCCCCACTCTATAACCTCTGGAATCCCTTATAGTGGTATCTCTCTGCATAGTCCACCAGCCTGCTTAATCCCAGCTTTCTCCCACAATGAGGCATACCTTGCTTGTGTAAGGCTAGATACCACAAAGTGTGGACCCAAAAAAGCAAGGCTAAGAGAGCCATTCCTTCACCCTCTATTTGTCGGTCTTCCCAGTCCTGTTTCACTGTCCTAGGGCCCCCCTCTTTTTGGAATGACATAAGACCTGTTCAGTACCTTCAGAGGGTATGTATTTCTACCCACAGAAAATAATTTGCCAGAGTTTGCAACTCTCCCAACAATTCGGGTCGCAGGCAGGAACATCACAAGAGATTGGAAATAAAGGAGGCAGAGACAAAGTATAGATTAAAGTGATGGGGAAATCAGGGGTCCTCCAGCATTCCTGTGTGGAGTCCCACATCAGTATTTATTCTTTCAGCAAATAATTATTTTCAGTCACTGATTTACATGTACATATCATGAGTTTAAGTTTTGAGGTCTCCCAAAGTAACAATATGCTAGCTAAGTATACACAAGTCAAAGATAAAATCGTGAGTCAGCAGTAAAGGGTATAGTCCAAATGGGAACAAAGAGACCACATACTTCTTTCTACTTTATCTAGTTCCTCATTTACTGAGACATCAACTCAGGACCAGGTTTAGAATAGCAAACTGCTCTTATCTGCTGGGCTGACATCCTTTGCTCATTCTCTTCACCTTTGGATTACAAGTCCTGGTCCATTTGCAGACATCCCTGATCAGTGGAATGTCCCCCTCAAGGTTGAGCAGCTTTTGCTCAGTGAACTGACATGTCCACTTTGCTCTTTGGCAAAGTCCTGTCCCACTTCTGGGGTTCTCATGTCTCGACCCTAACCCTCAACATTAATTATTTCAAATTATTCCTTAAAATTACCTATTGTCCACAGCTCCTGCTAAAAGATCTGGGTCTAGGTAGCCTTCAGAGTTGTACCACGTGATCTTGCCCCCCAGCTCAACTAAGTGGACCAAGAGTAGACATCTAATCCAGGGAATACCAGTCAAAAGAGTGTGGAACCAAGTTACATTCTCTGACTTAGGATTTGGAATTAGGACAACAAGAGTAAGTCATTCAAATGTTGTCATCCCCGGAGTGGGCTAGCCATGTGGTCCAAGTTAATACTGGTGAGCATGCCAAGAAAGCCATTCTACAGAGAAAAGCAGAGGAATGGAACAAATGATAAGAAAAGTAGGCAAAAGAGACTGTGGTTCCCTGAGAGATGAAAGCTAAAGTCTATTAATTGTTTTGTCCTCATGTGTTAATATGTTGTTTCCTAATTAAGGTTATCTCTGTTGACGTACAATAAAGCTATCTATGGAAACCAGGTTAAATGGGTATCTTTTTTTTTTTTTTTGCCTTGTTTTTGTAGTTAATGTATTCTGCCTAAAACTTGAGTTTATAGGATTGATTCAACAGGAGCATGTTTTATTTGTAACGTTCTCTGATTCTGTTCTAGGAAAGACTTGCTATCATTTTGTTGAACTGATACCTGAAAAGTTCAGTTTTTCAGTTTTTTGAAAAAGAAATCTGTGGATCATAAATTTTAAGCATTATTTCTTTCCATATGTGTCAACTCAGTATAGAATGTTTCTTGATTTTTATAAGGTATATGTAATCAGTTTTAGTAATTGTTGCTACTGGCCACAGACAATAGTAAAAAATTTGTGAAATCCGCAGACATTGCAGAATAGAAGCTCATGACAAATTGATTGATATTTATTATTTACTATAGATGCCACCATTTTTTTCATATAATTCCTATACAAGACTGTTGAAGATGTCACCATTTTAAGAAAAGAATATACATGATTCAGTAGGTTTTATTTTAAAATAAATTATTGTTACCTAATTATTCAGACTGATTACTATCATGATAATGATTATTTGCCTTTAGTAATTTTTTTTTTTTTTTTTTTTTGGAGACAGAGTCTCACTTTGTTGCCTGGGCTAGGGTGCCATGGCATCAGCCTAGCTCACAGCAACCTCCAACTCCTGGGCTCAAGCAATCCTACTGCTTCAGCCTCCCGAGTAGCTGAGACTACAGGCATGTGCCACCATGCACGGCTAATTTTTTCTATATATTTTTAGTTAGCCAATTAATTTCTTTCTATTTTTAGTAGAGATGGCGCCTTGTTCTTGCTGAGGCTAGTTTCAAACTCCTGACCGTGAGCGATCCTCCTGCCTCAGCCTCCCAGAGTGCTCGGATTACAGGCGTGAGCCACCATACCTGGCCATCAGCCAATTTTTAACATCTAGATCTAAGCTGTTATCTTAAGAATACTAAAAACTCATCTTTGATCTATAAATAGCAATAGCGTCTTTTTTAAAAATAAAATAACATTTTTCTTCCACCTCTAAATAACACTTTTAGATATTTGACTCTATTGTGAGAGGAAAAGGTAACCTAAATCTTAATTTCTTCACAGACAGAAAAAGCAAAGTAGAGAGACCCACAAGTATTCCTCTGTCCTCTGGTTATAGCACAGTATCCACAGATTCAACTCCCAGAACCTCGATTATTAATTACGGTGGTTTGAATAACATTTCTCAGGTAAGAAAAACTGGCAACTGCTTAGATGATTTACTTTCTAAGGTCAGGACAACAAGCATTAGTTTTAGTCGTATATACTGTTGGTAAGAAAAATAGCAAAACTGTGTAAATCTTAATCTCTCAAAAATTCTTTGTGATAAGTAAACAGTACTTAATGCAGTGTTTCAGAATGTGTTTTATATGTTCATGGTCCATCTTTGATGATGGTTTACTTTAAGAAATTGCCTAAATTTGTTGCTTTTTAAATTAAAGGAAACAACAATCCAGAAAATGGAAAGGATGAAAAAAATGTAAGTAACAGAAAGGGGCAACAGAAATTCATTTCTCTGTAGGGAATTGTATTGGATTACAATATATACATGCATATGTGTTTCAAACCTTAAAGGTCTCTCAATCAGGTGTGGAATTTCCTTCAGGACTCCAGTGGATAATAAATCCACCTACAGTTATGTGTTTGTGAGATGAGTCACTGTTTTGGTTTCCAACAAGTGATATAAAACATTGTTAATGGAATTAACTGTGGATTAAAGAGTACAGAGATATTTTTGGTTAGTAGTTTGTCAACAGTATTATCTGTTTCTGATAACGGATTTATCAGAATGTTAAATAATATATAGATGGATGGTTTGGAGATATTTTCAGCTATTAATGTATCACTGGTTCTTATTAGTAAGTTTTGCTGAGATAATACTAAAAATGATGTTTTATTCAGTACAAATGAAATTATATATGGTTTTTTAAAGAACAGTTCAAAGGAAATATAAAAGTACAAATGAGATTATTATATAGCCTACTACTTCAAAAACTGTAATATTCTTTTGAAATTCGAAAAGTACTGAAATAACTTACACTCCAAGAATATAATTGACTCTAGTTGTTTTTCTTCTGGCCGTATTGTAAGTTTACTCATAGTATGAGTATGTTAAGTTTACTCATAGTAACTGTACTTATAAATAAGGAAAACACTCAAATTATTTCAGGCTAAAAAGCATAATTTCAACAATTTAAATCCTATGCTTAATTATGAATTATTTGTTTTACTTAATATATTATTTGTTTATTATATTTCAGGTTTGAAGAAACTGCAGAGTTACTGAAATGCCCAAATCATTAATTTTAGAATTTTCTGCATGAACTTCTCTAGGACTTTGGCTACTGTACATGTTGTATATTTTAAGAATTCTTTATACAATTTTAATATACTGCAATATTTGTATTAACAATTTGAATTCCATTTGGTGTGTGAGTTTTTTCATTCACTATTGAATAAATACTTCAATATTTTTGAGCTATGATTTTACTCTGTTTCACTTCTCTTAGGAAAAACTTATGTTCCAGTACATTTCCCTTACAGAGTGAAGTCATTACAGCACTGTATTTTCTGAGTTGACATTTGCTGGCAGTGTGCTAAGTAATATGTTTTTTAAAGTACAGGCTTGAGGACTGTGGTTTACATCCTGTTGGAAACATTCCAACTGGGACTTGCATATTGTACCCAGGAGGCTCTCATATATACCATCTTGCCATCTGTACTGACAACTACATTGTAATGAAAAGTTAAAGTGCTCATCAAAGATTAAACAATATAAAATACTGTTATTTCATGCTTAATCAAAAAGCAACAACACCTTTTCAATTAACACTGAGAAATTAAGAGTAAGATTCTCCTTTTATATTTGGAAGCAGGTCTTGAAGAAACATGTTGAATATTTTAGTATTCTCTTCTGTAACAAATTTTAAGACCAGCATTAGAAGGTACACAATGAGGTGTTTTGTTTTGTTTTTTAATAACGGGAAGTTACCAATTTTATTTGGAGAAGCCTTAGATGAAGTTAAATGAAGGGAAAAATGAAATTCATTTTAAAAGTTTCTGTATTATCTTTTTTAAACTTTATAAATAAAATAAATAATTTTGGGTAATCCTCAAGAAAATTGACTCCATTATTTGGAAGAAAAAAAGGAAAGTATTTTTTCTTTTTATTTTATAGATCATCTGATTATATTTTATTTATTCATCTGTTCATATTATTCATAAGTAAAAACTTTTAAGAGAGCATTTTTAGTATTCTAATAAATGCTTAGTTTATTAGACTTTAAAATTGTGAACTTTTATGTTAGCATATAGAATCATACAGCCTTGAATTTAGTAGAGTTTCAGTAAATATTTCTAGGATTAATGAAGCCTATTAGCTTTATTTTTTCAATGACAAGACAGATACATTTATAAAAATAAAGAGATTACAGTTATAAGAGAAAAAACTATTATCAATATAATTGCTAAAATATCAGTACCAGCATGGAATTATAGCTCCACCTTGTGGTTCTTATGCCAACATTTTATCTTTTTTTTTAAAATACGTGACTTACTATAAACCATAGGATCATATTTTCCCGTTTGAAAAACTCAATTTCAATTTTAAAAAGAAACCTTTTTGAAGTTTTCTTGTGGAAGACAGAAGAAAAGGTAAGTCTCTTTCTCTTTATCTCTTTCTACCCTCCTTTTTTTCCTTATATAGTGTAGACATATACACAATTGGATGATTTAAAACATTTCTAATTGCCTAGTGTACATACGGCATGAAAAATATAAGTATATATTGAAAATACTATAAAATATTTCATATATATGATCACGTAGAAATTTGTAATCCAAATTATCTTATACTGTACATTTACACTTACAAAGAATCTCCTTATACTATTTTGACAATATAATCTTTGGAAAAATAAAGCAAATTTGACTTCATCGAAGTTATTGAAAGGATAACCAAATTATTATTTTTAAAAAGTTTCCTGGCAATTTGGTAAGTAGTCTGTAACCATAAACCAACCCCTTTTAATTAACTTGAGAAGGTGAAGTAGGGGAGGTCTGGAGAGATCTGAAGTTAATTAACCCTTAGTTAACTAACTCCAACTCCTTCATCCTTTCTTAAGCTGGGTGAAAAAGCTTTATACTACCAACAAAAGCATCGGTAGCTTGTACTGCCCTGTTTATGCTATATTGTGTGAAGAGGTCTGAGTAGAGATTACATAGGAATGCTGTAAAGAATGCATAAAGGTAAAATACTATTCAGAAAGAGTTAAAAAGAAGTAACATTAACTCTATGACAATTCTAGGCAAAGCTAAGTACTATTACATTGAAAAAAGTAGTTCTATCATGTTTTTTTGTTTTATTCTACTGTTTTGAATGTCATGTTTCATGTAATATATTCTTTAAAAAATAAAACAAAGACTTTGGAACTGTGTTTTATGCCATTCATTACTCACAGCTTTATATAATTGATATGCACTTAGGGAAGCATTAAAAAGTTAAAAAGCAAAAATCCTTGTCAATTTTACAAACTACAACACTTTTTTGAGTTCAAATAACATTATAGCTCTAATTTTTACTGTTTAACAATCCCCAGGTTTGTCGCTCTCCTTTCTTTGAAACTGAAGGAGGTAGAGGGTGAAGTGGTGGAGGTAGTGAAACTTTAAACTACAAAATTAAAACTTTAAATGTTCTGGTACTTAAGTGTTGTTTTAAGTGGAAGTGGCAGGTTTCTTATACTGCTCAAAGACAGAAGAAAGCTGGAAAATCAATACAGTACTGACAGCAGTAGGAAGGCTGAGATCTTGCAAATTTATTTTGAGGGAGATTTTTTTAAATCCATATTTTATGATTTATATTTACTTCTAATACCTGTGGGAATGGGGACTATATAAGTGTATAGGTCTTTTTTTCTTCTCTGAAATCCACCAAATTACTAACAAAAAAATTTGATTTTGCTCTTTAATTTTTTAAATGTAAAATGTTAAACTCAACATTTTAAAATTTAGTACAGAGGATTTACTCAATAAGTGTTCCAAATGTGTAAATTATTTGAATTTTATATTAGGGTGATGGGTGTTAAGAAGGAGAGAATCACAATTTTAATCACCCAGAAAAGTTGAACAATCTGGGAGTTAGAGTAATGAAAAGGCTGAATGTTTTGGGATAGTTCCTAATTTGTAGGTTTAATACTTCAGTTCACTCAAGTGTTATGTACTTGGAGTTCAGTCAACTTACGTCATTAGATGTAGCTCTTCAATTCATTTGATGTTGAAATTTTTAGAGACATTGTGGGAATGCACCAGAATTGTCCTATACTTGTTTCTTATGTATTTTGATTGTCCCTGTAGATAGGAACATAAGCTCCCTTATCTACACAACTTACTTTTTTACTTTTACCAGCTAAGTTAACCTTGAGTAGATCCCTTCTTTCTGGGTCCTCAGTCAAGAGGATTTCTCTCTTAATTATTTTGCTGTCTCTGAAACTTCCTGAGCTTTTCTAAAAATGTATCTCTTTTACGGTATTTATGAAAAAAAGTTTTAAAATAACCTTTGGAATAGTCACTGGTAATTATAATTATAAAACTATTAATTGGAATTACAGTAGAGTCAGGATTAATCATTTTAGACCCATGACCGACTCACTTTTCCTTTCCATTTTTCCCATTCCCCACTTTGATGAGGAAGCATTACCTTCTGTAAGGTCCTAATTCAGGGGGTTTGCATTTTGTTTTCGTGCCCTTTGCTATTTTATGGGAGACAAAGCTTTACCTTCTTAAGGTCTCTAGCTGGGCCTGAGAATAAATTGACATACATACGCGTTTCTACATGTACATGGGAACCCACATAGAAAAATGAAGACACAAAAAAGTGGCAAAACCTAAATGCTTATGTAGTGGGTTGAACAGAGTGGCACTTGTAACTGAAATGTATAAGAAGGCTAAAGGAAGATGAGTTATTTTAAGAAGGACTGTTTGTACAGACAATTCTGTACTTTGACTCGTCTCTGGTGACAAGAATGTTTCTTCTTCCCTTGTACGTGGAGGGCATTTTTCACATGGGAGTTTTCTCTTTAGTGATAAGAATGTTTCTTTCCTTCTGATACAGGGAGGGCAGTGTGTCTCTTTTGCATCTGCTGTTTTTCCAATGCCTTTAGCTCAAAACAGTCTTTATGCTAAAGTAATGTATTTTGTGGTGGCATATTCTGCCACATTTTACTATCAAAAATACTACATAGACTCTCACTCAGCCAAAGATTACTATTACTAATCCCCCCAGCCTAAATCCTGTTATTTATACTATGCTATCCTGTGTCCTTTATACTACTTCATCCATTTCTTTTTTTCCCATCGCAACTGTATTACCTCAAGATTTTCTCATTCGTTGCTTCACTATTTACTGATCTCTCTGCTTATATTCTTG